TTATATTTGTCCTTGTGATTCTAGAAACTTTCCAAACCTCTTCAATTTTGGTATAATCTAATTGTTGTAAGAGGAATTGTGCACACAAAAATACACTATCAGGCTCGTCTTTAAAATTATCACTCTTAGATGGCTTATTTACTGGTATATCTTTAATTTCGTTAATAGTAAAACAGATCGAAAAATAATATATGCTCTCTTTCATTTGACTGATTAAAAATCACGTAATATTTGGTCGCAAATAACGATTGATAAATAGTTCAATTTGTGGAAAAATTGTTATAGTATTAATGTTAGAAGGAATACTGCTAACCAAATCTTCATACTGTTTTTGTCTTATATTACTCTCACCACTATCTATTAAAACCTTCCTGAGCTCATAAAGAGATGTATTACTGCTTTTAATAATACGTTTAAGACAGGCGTTTTGACTTTCTACAAATGATGTAGATTCAATACCAAGAGTAAAAAGTATTGTTATAAATCCACGAGCTCACGACCTACACCTATTATATAAATTATTTGGAAAGTATGTATTTGCAGTAGAATAATTTTTTATCATTTCTTCCTAATAATAATAAAAACTACCAGGTGTATCGGCATTATGGCATTTCTAAAAAAAGAAATAAAAATCACTGAATAATGTACCAAGTTTTCCACGAAGTGCTTTTTTAACATTTTCTTTCAAGTGCCAAATACAAAGAATATGATGGGTTATAGGATATTCTGCTATAATCGCACCTTCTATAGCAGGATCTCCGTCAGTAACAAATACATTAGGTATATATCCCCGAGTTGCTTTTTTTGTTATATGTAAAACCCACTGATATGACTCCATAGTTTCATCACTTAAAAGTGCCTGGGCAACTATTCTTGACTTCATATTATTATCTATAATTACAAAAAGCGATAGTAGCATATTATAACAATTAGTTCCAGCAGTATTATCATGACCAACTAATTCACCAAACTCATACCACATTATAATTTGTTCAGGACTCATTCAGAATATCTCTGTAAGAGTATTTGTTTCTGATTCCCAGGTCGCTTCAACAAACCACCATGTTAATCTCTCAAGGCCCCTTCAACAAACCACCATGTATCCTCATGTTTTTTAGCTTGCAACTCCTCATAAAACCATGCTGCGTCTGTTTTATTATAATGTACTGATAGTTTATACTATTGAATTTCTGCGTAAAGATCCTTGGTATAAACAAGATAAGGAAAATACTTTTTTTTTAGAATTTTCCTTATTATTGTCGCACCAAAATGATATTCTTTTACATAGAACTCAATATCTTTCTGCATCTCATTACTAAATGCTTTCAGTTTCTTAAACTGTAATGCCTCAGGGCACATTTTATGATTATGTTTGTTTTCAAAAGTTGTTACAAAAACACGTGAATTTGGGTTTTGTTTTAGGGGCCTTGAGAGATTAATATACTATGAGCAACCTTTTCTTATAGTTGTTCCAGCTTTTTCAGGGTTTACGTACTGATAGCTACCAAAATCATAACAATAAATTGCTCTTTTTCGCATTACCTTTTTGTCTTCATTAGTTTGAATAGTGGTATTTCTTTTCAGTATTATCTTAAAACCCATATATTTAGCATATTTTCGTATATACTCTACTGCTTGATCAAAATCATTAAACGATTGGCCCTTTTCTATTGTAATAGCTTTGGTATTTTCACATGATATTTCACCTTCGTACAAGACTTCATCTTCTACACCAACGTTCATATCAGCAACTACACCAATATCCATATCAGAAATCACATCAACGTTCACACCAATATCTACACTAAAATCCACACAAGAGTTCACAACAATGTCTAAAGAAGTATCTGCATCAACATTGGTGTGAACGTT